TAGTAGCCAATTAACAAACTCCAACTTTGACTTTGTTGTGAAAGCATGCTTTCATCACTTAACCAATATACAATATAATAAAATTGCACAGCAACAAACAAACTCTGCTCGTCTACAACTATCTAGTCAATATGGACTTAGTGCAAAGCCAGTTCTTGATACTCTTTATTGGGACAGATATTTACAATCAGCACAAGATGCTTATCATGCACTTGCTGGTAAAGCTACACGTCTTCTAGATATAACTCTTAGATATTTAAATACTAATAGAGAAGTAGCTTGGCTTAAGTGTTGGAAAAGTATTAAAAAACTAGCAAGATGGTTACAGATACCAAATCTGCTAACCCATCATCATAGTTTTATATTTTCAGATACTTTATACCTGGCAATGTTAATGCTATTTATTCTACGTTACTTTTTATCACCTTCACATTTAAAGGCTGAAATAATTGAACATTTAAAAAATATATATAAGCTTATTTGTAATGATCATACTATTATTAAACTAATAGAACTTTTGATAGTTGAAGCAAAACTACTTAAGTTGGCTTTCTCAACAACAATGACAAATAACACTTATAAGGAGCTTCGTAGTTTGTTTGAAAAAGAACGAATTGGTTTTTTGAAGATTTTTCTAGATATATTTGAAAACTTACCTAATGTTCATATAAATGTCTATTTGCTACAACATGCTCATACATTTGCAACTCTTGTGAACACATCTGTTGGAGTCAAAGAAATGGTACACAGAATATACAAAAATATGGTACTACATACTAATTACAAAAATATTGAACTAGATCTCCTTCGGCGATATAATTTCTTATTTGCATTAACTCACTTATTTAATAGTGGCAAAGATTACTGTTTTCCAACAACTATATATAAATTATCAAATATTTCTCCAGACATTTTATTATATTCAAGTCTTTGCAAACAATATACTACAGAGCGAAACTTAAAAATTAATGACAATAATGATATTGAAGAAATTGAAATTATCTCAAATTTGATACCAAAAAATTTTATAGATATAGTATTATGAAATAAATAGCCAAAAACAAGAGCAAACATTGAAGGATGGTCGACAAAACTAAGTAGTCAGCATTCTCTTTTTCATGATTTACATATATCATTTTCAGAATATTTTAGTTTACAAAGTGCTTTTCTTAATAATGAATTAGAATTTTTTGATTATATTTCATATACTATCATTGAAAATGATAGAAAATCAACTTGACTTAAATTTCTTGTTGGTGAAATAATTGAAATTGAAGAAGAAAGTGAGGCCTTATATATGCAAAAATACAAGCGATTTTACAACATCAAGCAAATAATAATGAATCTGCAATTTTCTTTGTCTTAAAATAGCTTCAAGCAACCAATACAAAAGACTTGATTTTAAACTGCCCATATTATAAACAAATAATGAATAATCAACAATTTCTTCAAATTTATCAATCTCATGTATTTGCCGTATTCAAAAAATTCATTTTTTACCTGCATGCATACAAAATCACGATCAAGAACATGCTACTAATAATGATCAAAAATATATTAAAAATGAGTTTTTTTATGAGACTGTATAAAAACTATAGTGCTTGCTTATTTCTATAAGATATATACATATATTTAATTTAGTAAAAATAAATTTTTTGTAATCTGTGATTAGATTTAATTTATATTACAAAATTGTTAGATGAAGTAATATTATATCAATATATATAAGAAATAGAGATTTATTGCAAATATATAAAGAATAAATAGATTATTTATTTAAATAAGAATAAAAGTTTCTTATTTTATTCTGTCTTTTATTGTACAA